TATATATATATTTAAAAAAAATTATTATTTTTTTTTTTCCCAAATGTAGTGTCTGTAGTAAACTGAGTGTCAGACTGTTTGCAACATAGTGCTTAATTTGTGTAAAATGTATGTGCACAATGTTTCACTGAATAGTTTGATTTAGAGAGTTCTGTGTAAAGGTTTTCAGTGAAATTCTTTCAGTTTTTCTTTATTTCTTTTTGGAGAAAGAATAAAAGAATGATCTTTGATAATGATATATGTGAATATAATGTGGTAAAAATGGTTTATAGTTTTGTGAAACATCTAATCAAAAAAATTATGTAATCCAGGCCAAAGTGCTTTAAATGTATTGACCTGATTACCCAAGAGCTTTCACAAAAATAATACTGGATTTTTTTGGAGCATGGAAATTGCAAAAATAATAATTAAATAATAATAATAGTCATAAAATAATAATCATAATAATAAATTTAAAAATAAAATGAATTAAAACTTAATTTTAACAAGACAGTTTTGAAATAGGTGTTTGAAACTAAAGTAGATATCAATCAATCATGCATCATTGGATTCTGACTCATAAAAACATCAAACATCATAGTTACTGACCTTACTTCACCATGACTTTAAAATATTCCCAGCCAAAGAACACAGTTTACAACATGGGGTGTTTGTTTCAGGCAGTTAAAACACACATGAGGCAAAACAGCAGTTTGCTGTAAAATTCATTAATAACAAGCTAATTTGCACAAGTTTGCCACAAGACCAACAAAGTTCAATAATTTAGTTGTACATATAACAAATTAACAACATTGTTTTTCTGTAGATTGACACAAATATTATCAAATTATATACAGCTTTGTGGAATGCACTTATAAGGCAGCTGATAAACTAAAACAGAATGCAACTTAAGACATTGTGCATTCAATAACTAAATAGGCCCGGCCAAATATCATAGTACTTAATTGATTAGGGTCAAAAATGGACAGAAATAGCATTAGAATCAATCATCAAATTCAGCATTTTAGAGGCACAATACTGAATTCTAGCTTTTACTTTGCACTTCCTTCCTTTGTTCCTTTTTTGTCTCTGTTGTATGTGATCCATTACAATATACTACATATTTTTCTTCATGACTTTCTTTCTTTTTCAGTCTTACTCATATTTTGTTCTTCACTTCCTCACTCTTTCTTAAGTGCTGTCCTGTCTGTAGGAATGCTACTTCCAGGGTTGTTCTTTCAGATAAGGATCTCCACCAGATCTAGGTCAGGCAGGGGCATCTTCTGTCCTCGACCTTCTAGGCTTTTAGCCTGGCTGAATAGAGATTCTGCACATAAACACAGTTCAAAAAAATTTATTTTAGTCATACCCTTTTTCAGCGACAGCCATACTAAGTTATACTAATATTTCTTGAGATACTAATATCTATACTTGCATTACTAGTATTTTTTCATTATAATATTTTTGTCAATTGAATCATTTAGCCATTTGAATCATTTATTATTTTTTTCAGTAGCGGTCTATAATTGTAATAAAAAGGTCATTGTGTCACTCACAGCACCATGCACAAAAACATCAAGACTTGAAACTGTGTTCCAAATTGTTGGCAGATAAAATCTGGATTTAATGCAGTAGAAGAAAAATGCTTTTATTGTGTTTACTAAGCTTCTAACAATAGATATTCCACTGTTACATTATATTTTACTTCGTGTTTTTGTGGCCTATATTTATTCACTGGGCAGAGATTCTACAAAAAGAAGCCAGTGTTAATAATTCAACTAAGTTACCCTGCTACTTGACGGATCCCAAGAAATTGTCGGAAATTTGGCAGTACCAGTCATTATGGTAAAGGATCACAGGATCTCATTTGCAAGGCGAAATTAAATTTCAATTAAAAGCTGGCATGAAGGAAAATGCAACCAACTTTTCTTCCCTATTGTGATGTATGGCTATTGGCTCTTTGATTGAGAAAAAAAGTAAGGCAGAACTTGATTTTGTCCATGACCGGTTCATAGAAAGTGGAAAACTAAATGGACAATTGTTTTATATGAGCGACAGGTTTCATGGAGGGGAAGGATTGAAAATCATCTGGCTATTCACAGAGATGTCATAGCAGGCTAATGTTTTTGTTTAAAGATTTTTTTACATTATGATGTGAATGGATAAATCATTCACAATAAGCACGGGAGGTTCCAACAAAAAATAAGAAAAGTCAATTTTGATTTCATGGTGATTTGAATCCCTGAGTAGAACTGTGCCCTGCACATGAATGCATAGATACAGAAGCTACATTGTCACTTGCTTCTCTCTGCCTGTCTCACCTGTCTTTTCTTGTATTGTGGAGGTTGCAGTGCTAAATGTCTTTGGACTCAGTCCTGTTTGACTGCTGCTGTCTCTGCTGGCAGATTTAGAATGAAGGGACAGGAGAGGAGTGGAGGGGAGAGAGAATGATAAAGGAGGCAGAAGAGAGCCAGATGAGGGCAAGGGTAATGTGGAAGAAGAGGAGGGAGGGAGAGAGGAAGTGCTGGAGCGGGGAACACATGAAGATGAGGTTCTTGATGTGTTTGAACCTGCAGAGGCCAAAAAGGGAAGAAAAGAGGAAGGTAGAGAGGAGGAGAATGATGGAGGAAGAGAGGAAAGAGAGGAGGCAGGGAGAGATGAAGAGACAGAGACCGAAAGAGAGGGCAGAGTGGGAAGGATGTGCTCTGCTTGGTCTTTTCCCAGGAGAATATCTGCAAACGAAAACACAAATCATTAAGTAAAACCTCTAGTAGCACAGGTCACATTTCAGTAACGAGTGCCATAAGACATTTACACTGCTGTTCGAAAGTCTGGGATCAGTAAGATTTGTTATGTTTTTTTAAAGAAATGTCTTATGCTCATCAAGGCTGCATTTATTTGATTTTTTTTTTTTTGAATCTGTGATACTTTTTCAGGATTCTTTGATGAATAAAAAGTTACAAAGAACTGCTGCAAAATGATAGCAAACCTCAATATTTACCTTGAAGACCCTGTTTCCACAAATCAACCAACCACAGAGAACAATGCCAACATCCACGAAAGAGCTGTAATAGTTGGAGCACCAAAAACATCTGCCCTGACCAATCACCTGACTTTAATATTTTCAAACCACTGTGGGCAGTTTTAGAGAGAAGAGGGAGAAGCAGATTCCCTCCTTCAACATCTCTTAATCAACTATGTTCTGATAAGTTGTATGAATCTATTCTAAGAATGTTGAAAACTGTATCAAAGGCAAATGGTAGTCAAACACCTTAAAAAAGAAATATCACCCATTTCAGGTGTTCAGATTTTGTCCAACCCCTGCTGTGTGTGTATGATACATTATAGAAAAAATGAGGCATAGGACTTTAATCAGAATGAGTGTATTTGTATATGTACTACCTTTCCAGCTGTGATGGTCTCTGCGATCAGACTGTGATGACTGACGTGTGTGTAGTCCAGTTGCTATGGAAATGGAGGGCACAGAGCGGGCAGGACGCAGAGGGGCGGGATCTCGACGGGAACGGTGTTGTAGGACTTTCTTTAAAATATAATGTATTTCTGTGATGCAAAGCTGAATTTTCATCAGCCATTACTCAAGACTTCAGTGTCACATGATTCTTCAGAAATCATTTTAATATTCTGATTTATTATCAATGTTGGAAACTAGTTACATTGTACAGTATTAATTGAAAATATATATATATTTTTTTTTTTTTGAATCTGTGATACTTTTTCAGGATTCTTTGATGAATAAAAAGTTACAAAGAACTGCTGCAAAATGATAGCAAACCTCAATATTTACCTTGAAGACCCTGTTTCCACAAATCAACCAACCACAGAGAACAATGCCAACATCCACGAAAGAGCTGTAATAGTTGGAGCACCAAAAACATCTGCCCTGACCAATCACCTGACTTTAATATTTTCAAACCACTGTGGGCAGTTTTAGAGAGAAGAGGGAGAAGCAGATTCCCTCCTTCAACATCTCTTAATCAACTATGTTCTGATAAGTTGTATGAATCTATTCTAAGAATGTTGAAAACTGTATCAAAGGCAAATGGTAGTCAAACACCTTAAAAAAGAAATATCACCCATTTCAGGTGTTCAGATTTTGTCCAACCCCTGCTGTGTGTGTATGATACATTATAGAAAAAATGAGGCATAGGACTTTAATCAGAATGAGTGTATTTGTATATGTACTACCTTTCCAGCTGTGATGGTCTCTGCGATCAGACTGTGATGACTGACGTGTGTGTAGTCCAGTTGCTATGGAAATGGAGGGCACAGAGTGGGCAGGACGCAGAGGGGCGGGATCTCGACGGGAACGGTGTTGTAGGACTTTAATCATGGCATCTTTCTCCAGCAACTGAGCATGCAAGTCTTTCATCCTGTGACATGCAGAGCAACTCTTTATTGGTTTTTTATCTCAGACACACAGTTATCAGGAACAACATAACACAATTAGATAAATATGTGATTAATTAAGTGCTGATTGAGCATTAGTGATGAACACCTGCTGTTATCAAGCAGAATCACTGAAGAAAAGAAAAACACAAGAACTACAACTGACTTCAGCCACAGAGGAGTACATACAGAGGAGTCATTTACTTTTGCAAAAGTTTCTTTGATAACTCCTCTTTTACAAATCAGTTTGCAGTCGAAAGCTTTGAACAAACATATAATATTCCGATGTGATCTGGAATGCAATTAAAAATAAATCATCTACTTGTTCCTGATGGTGGGACCCTTTTTAACTCTGCACAGAGAAGCAAACAAGCTGTTTAAACAGCATGTCAAAACAAATGTTCTTTTACTCTTGTTTTGTCTTCCTGTCAGCTCAAGCATAGAGTACATCAGAAACTGAACAAGAATCTCTATACTGTATCCAGTGTATACAGCAAAAGCGATTATAATGGGTTTTGAGTTCTATTTGCTTTTGTCACAAAGTCATTGAACCGCTATGGATAGGCACATCGATACTGCAGTATCAGTATCTCTGTTATTTCGATAACAGAGATGGGCAGTATTTTAACTAAATGTATTTAAAAGATGTATTTTATTACTTTTTTTTGTATTTTGTCATTTGTATTTTGCTGGACAGATCAAAAAAATTCTCTGATGTAATTAAATACTTTTGATAGACTGTATTTTGTATTTAAAATACTTTACAGTAGCTTTTAGACACACACAGACATCAAGAATCAGCACATGAATCTCAACAATTTAAAAAATGTAAAAAATCATGCCGCAGTGCATGCTGGGTGCCAGTAAAAAACTCCCAGCATGCATTGCAGAATTTTTTTTTTTTTTATTGTCACCAATGTTGAGATTCATAGGCTGAATGTTGATGTCTGTGTGTGTTTAAGTTCTGTCATAGTTTAAAACTTTTATTTGTGCATGTTATGCTTAGGAATGTTTCACAATGATTGTAGTAGTATCAGTGGTGCAACTCAAGAGTATTACTTACATCTTACACACTTAATAAGAGATTAAACATTAGGTGAGATCAGTGAATCTAGCTCATGATGGTCTTGACATGACAAACACCAGTTTCAGAATCAGAATCAGAATGAGCTTTATTGCCAGGTATGTTTACACATACGAGGAATTTGTTTTCGTGACAGAAGCTTCCACAGTGTAACAGAATGACAGTGACAGAACAAAAAGCACAGATAATAAAAAAAATAAAATGAGGGAAAAACACCAGTGTGAAGGGATGTGTTAACGATGTGAGTGAGTGCAGGTACAACAGCAGGAGAAATGGCTTGAAAGAGATGAGATGAAATAGGATCAAGCGGACAAGTAATAGGATGATTGGAATGGATGAGTTTAGAGACTTCTGCCTCAGAGAGTGGAGAGAAGGATGAAAAAGAGTGTATGTTTGCTGGTAAGATATGTTTGACAGTTTGTGGTGTGGCAAATTGTGCACTGAGGTTTGTAATTTTATTAATGAAGAATGTTGATCAACAAGTAGTAGGAAAGAGAATGATTCAGAAGCGATACTTATGTGCCTTGCCGGTGTCCCTGCTTGGTGGAGTTGAACGGTAGAGTCGATGGTCTTTACACTCTTCGGTCTTAACAGGAGGAGAGCTTCACACGAGGGCTGCCGCGGCCGCTGCCGCGATATACTAAGCTTTTTATATTCGTCTAACAAAACTCAAATTGAATTCAACTGGACACACTTTCCTGTTTATCACAACAAATGGCCAAGCAAAGCACACGACACTGACAAGGTACGCGATACAGTACGAGACCAAACGCGATTTCAGCACGTCTCCACACAGAGACATAAATTTAAAGGGATACTCCACCCCAAAATGAAAATTTTGTCATTAATTACTTACCCCCATGTCGACAAAATTTTCATTTTGGGGTGGAGTAACCCTTTAATCACAATATTTCTCTAAAATATGGTATTAATTTGCACCAATTGGTACAAACATTTTTATTTAATTGTTCTCATATTTGCTTTTGTAGTAATTTTGTTATTAATGGCCAGTATGTCATGTGGATGTGATTTGCCTTTAAGTGGATTTTTTCTTTCTAAAATTAATAATATTTTGAAAAACCACATACACATTTAAGAAATAATCAGTATTGGTATTGGTATCATTAAAATTGTAGGGAAAAATATCTGTTTCGTTTTTGGAGCTTGGTTAAAGGTGCACTAAGCGATTTTTGCCAAATGATGTTGATATTTGAAAGCACCAAAACAAACACGCCCATACCCCAACAGGACCTCGCCCCTATTTTGATATATCCGCCCCACACGTATCTTCCAATTCTCTCTATCTATAGTCAATCTGCTAATATCTGTCCTGTGAAATCAAATGGAGCGCTCTCTTCTATCATTACAAGACAAGCCCCTTACTGCTGATTGGCTACGTGTGTTTTGGGACTCGGTCCGACACTGTGGTCAAAAGCGTTTTTCAAAAATTGCTTAGTGCACCTTTAAATAAACGCATTTTTATAATGAGAAGGACTATTCAAGCTATGAAACTTACAGGATGTTTTAATGGTACAAAGACCTTTTATATGTCAAAAGCTCAAAGAAAACTTGATATCTCATGTCATGACCCCTTCAATTTTTAGTCAATCCTTTCCCCCTAGTGTGCAGATAGGTCCCTGCACCTATAGAGAGCTGTATGCTCTGTTGTTGTTCAATGATGTAACTTGTTACTTTAGTTGCATCACTGAAGTGAGACAATAGAAGCACTTCTTAAATCATAAAATTAATGTTACAAGCATAGTTATGAGTCAGGCGCTTTTTTTTAATCAGTCAAAAAACCTAAATTTGTGACTTAATAATAGGTAACTTAAGTAATTGTAAAGATAAATCAACCAACTAACAAACAAACATACTGATTAAAAAAAACTGATAAAAAGAACCAAAGCATCTGAAACTGTAATTTTTTTTTCTTTCAATGATTTGAATAATGTCTATTTTGTTGTTTAATCAAGAATTAGAATTTTAGATAAATATATTAATATATCTAAGAATTTCTACAAACAATCACATTGACAATACTGTTTATATGTACACATACTGTGTATTTATATGAGCATATGTTTATTAGCATTCACCTTTGTTCCATTTCCTGACAGTGAAGACTGCTCTGGATTCTGTTCTCATCCTCATGCAGCCACAGTGAGCTGTCGTTGTAACTGCCACTGCGAGAATGCTGGATTATAGTTGTATCTCTGAAAATAAACAAATAAACATACAATAAATCTGTCAGAAATATACATTTAATCTTGTAAATAATTTTAAATATTTTAAATGTTAGGAACAATAGAGAAATTAATAAAATGTCTGTATCAAGCTCACAAAAACAGCCTCAGCTTCAATTAAAAAAAGTGTCAAAAATGCAACGTGGTCAAGCACCTTTAGTATTTCTATTAAGATGCTAAGGTACCCCTAGGCCAGGCCCGGCGCCAGAGGACCCATAAAAATATATATTTATTAAAACTTGACTGCTACATTTACAGTCAATATTCACATGTGATTTGAATACTGAACATTAATAATGTAGTTCACAAGCATAATAGTAGTTAGAATGAACAACATCTACCCCATTAGAAATGTAAAGTTCCCAGAACGTTCTCAGAACGTCCCCGCTGGTGTCAATGACGTTCCCAGAACGTTTCCCGAGATGGTCATGATGTGGAGTTCATTAAAGGGGTCATATGATGCGATTTAAATTTTTCCTTTCTCTTTGAAGTGTTACAAGCTCTTGATGCATAAAGAAGATCTGTAAAGTTGCAAAGACTAAAGTCTCAAATCCAAAGAGATATTCTTTATAAAAGTTAAGAGTCAACCACGGCTACGTAAAACGGCTCGTTCTTACACGCCCCCACATGTCTACTTCACAATGTGGGAAATTTTGCATAATGCCGCCCAAATGTTCACGCAAAGAAAGAAGGTGTAACTAATAATCTTGCTGTAGTTTTGTTGCTGCCGCAATGTCGTGAAGGCGCTGTGTGTTTCGTTGTGAAAGCGAAACTACTTTGTTTGTTTTTTTCCAAAAGAGGACGATATCCGCTTCGTCATGCCTAGAGCTGATCCGTGCTGGTCGCTGAGACAATACATCAACTTTGCGCTGTGGATCGTCGGATTGGCTTTCACCGTGGACGAAGCGGAGTCCAGACCGGGGTCGTCACATGTGGTTGCCGCAAGACC